TGAGCATGTAGGCCTTGTCGATAGGTCGATCCCTTCACAAAGAATCCTACCAACTTAACAATATAAAAATGTCAGGTTACTGTCAGTTTCCTATATCGTACCTCGGACTCAGTGGAGAGCAACCCAGATGCATTACGAATGTTGCTCCCTATTCTTACCAATATGTACGGCGGCCATGGCCGGTAAAGCGATGTACAGGTGTCGCAGTTGAGTTTTTAATGCAGTTCAAATTCTCTTCCTTTTTTTTAAATTAGAAAGCTAAACTTTAATTTTCTATTTCAGTATTCTGTCCATGTATCTGCCTATCTATCTATCTGTCTATCCGTCTGTCTGTCTGTCTTTCTATCTATCTATATCTATCTGTTTTTGTATCTGTTGCTCCTACTTGAAGCATAGGACATCCATGAAACACTTTGTTTCACTTCGGTTTCTTTATTTTAGACAGTTGGTAAGACTCCTTGGATGGGGGATCAGCCAGTCTCAAGGCCGCTACCTACCCAGGACAACACAAACACAGAATAAACGCACACAGACATCCATGCCTTGAGTGGGATTCGAACCTACGATCGCAGTGTTTGAGCGAGCGAAGATATTTCATGCCTTAGACCGCAATTTCAGTAGTACTCCTGCTTTAAAGTTTTAGCTTCTATATTGCGTTACTAACGAGAGGAGCAAATATATCTCAGGCTAATAACAGGTTTTGGATATAAGAATATTTTTGGGGGCGTTAATTATGAATTATAACAGGCTAGATCGCTTACTATTATCACGTGTCACAGTGACTAAGATGCGGGTTTGGATTGGTAATTGGATTTATTAACAACTTACACGCCGTAACTACAGTTAATTATTACATTAGTGCTGATTTACACAATTTACAATCACTCCACACTAATCTCTTTAGTCTATCTCCACTAATCTTCACGGATTTATAACACAGGAACTATAAAAGTCTCACTAAATCACACACTCCCAATACCACTGCACTACAGCACACATAAAGTCTTCAAATCATACGTTAAATCTTCACAAGCTGACTTCTTGTAGTCTTCTATACTCATCTAGCTTACTGCTTGTTTGTTTGTTTGTTCGCGTACTTCTGCCGCTATTTTTCACTCATAACTGCCCCGAACTGATTTTGCATCTGAATTAACTTCTCTTATATGCACTCGGCACACACCACGCACAGAAAACACAGTTATATTGTTGCATAAGGCAGACGACACAGAGAACAAGTCACGTGATTCGTAGCAACCGTCTTCGTTGGTGCATCGTTGCCTGGTAACGTGCAATAACATTCCTCCACTGAGACACATCTTCCGTTGTTGCAATTTGACCATGTTTACAGAGATGTTGCCTGGAAACGTGTTGATCAAATCCGTTGCAATATAATGACTGATTATACTTCTTATAATCTGTGTAGCTACGCAGCCATTGTCTGTTTTTCCCTTACCGATATCTGAGCAAAGTGTCTGTCTCCCCCCCCCCCCC